CACTTATGTCTGTCCAGGAGTATAGTCGATCAATTTTCTTGCTTACATATCTTTACGTAGGAATTTCAGTGTTGCTGGTATTACAACTTCATGCTATGGGGTGGGGATACAAGTGTGAAAACTTGGAGATCAATAAAAGGACAAGTTGTTTAGCATTTATCTACCCTCTCAGCAGCGATCGCATAACATCGCCGGCAGGTTCTTCGTCAGTTCTAACTCCCTGGTCTGACATGAGATGTATATGTGCTTGGCACTTGACCTTTGGTGTCTGCGCCATATGCTGCTGGATGGCACAAGAGGTGTTCAAGCGAGTGAATGACATGTACGCCGTGGCGGCACAACCCTGTTTCAGGGAGAAAAGGACTGAGGCCCTATAGGTAACAACACATCATTCAGCCACGCGAAACAAACTTGTTAAGTACCTCATTGTTATACTGCACACACTTTTTGTAATACTTAGCCATAACTATAAACAGCTGCGGGATAAATTGTTCTTGTACAAACAGGGGGTGGCTTTTTTATACAGTTTGGAGAAGACCCTTCTGTTAAAGAAGGTTATGATGGTACAGAGCACTCCGGAAACATACCAGCCGCCAACATGATTTGATTGAACAGTATATTTGATGCTGCAAAATCTGAAAGCTGCAAATGTAATGTTGAACATCTCATTTCAAAGTATTATGTAATGATGTTTTTTTCTCTTTTAACTTTATATTCTTTATCTCTTACTAAATGCCATGGTTATTAATTTAACTTTGGGATAAGAATACGATTTTCTGTCTCATTTCGTACACAGAAGCTTGAGCCTTTTCCCATTTGTGTTCTCGTCCATTTTTATCTTGCATAAATTTAGGATCGTTGTTTTTCCCTTGCTAAGCTATTTTGTACAATTTCGTGCTTTAACCAGTAACCACTAATTCTTCTCATGCAGATACGCGGTGAAATAAATTATATTCCATGGCCATTGAATTTGATAATTATACAGGTTTCATCTTTTGACTCAAACATGTTGGGCTTCAAGAATGTTTTTTTCTAGATTAATTAGTACATATATTTTTTGAAAGCATTAGGTTTTTTGACTGTTAGGAATATTTGTGGGTAGTTCAATGTGTTCCGATTGTAAGACTAAACTATATACTACATATCTTTATTTAAATAAATAAATGCATTCGGATGTATGATCCTGTAACAAAAGGAGAACTATTTGGATGCAGTTTTGGTTGAGTTGATTCTTAATAGTATCACCTCAATATGTCACCCATGCATACATGAGGTTTTTCCATAGTATGAGCTAATTGCAGCACGGGTACACGATGGAGCTCGTTGCATCAATCAGTACGAGCTCAGCACGTCAAGCTTTGCATGCTAAATTTCTATGGGTGGGGGACGATTCCACCGGCACGTCGTCGTCGCCTGGATGACGTCCCTGCCGATTCCATGGCGGTCGTCGTGTCTAAGAGCACTGGCGCCGACGTCCTCAGCGGCGCAAGGATGGCCGCGGCTGGCAAAGGGCTCATGCGCATAGTGCTCGATCGAAGTGAAGCGATGAAGACTGTGCTCGGACGGCCGTGCGTCTTGGCACCATGCACTGAGTTTGATCAGGGCGAAGCACGAGGCCACAAGTGCTACATCACCCCTCTGGACGCACAACCGTTTTCTACGCGCCTTTTCTCCAACCATGAGGTATGATATTGTCTACGATTGCAAAACTGAATTTGCCAGTCCTTCGTCGTTTCTAAACTCCTAGTGTGCACCAGATTTGGGTCGGCGCGAACGGGGACTGGCTGGCCTATCTGCAAGAGAACGGAGGCATCCAATTGCACAACGTATACACCGGAGATATGGTCTAGGCGCCACCTTTTGAAGCCATAGGCCTTGTCAACACGGGAGCACATGTCATACGAAATTTCAACTACGATCTCACAATGTCTACATTGAAGAAGATAGCCATTGCGCATCCACCCGCCAGGTGGGACAGCTTCAATGGCTATTTTCTCATTGCCATGTTTGACAACATGATTGCCATCACCGGCTCCGAGGCTAGCTCCAATGCAAAATCCTGGTATATGCTGGCCCCACCACATCTTCCTCCTCGTCGCTACCAAGATGCCGTCAACCATGCCGGGTGGATCTTCGCGGTTATAGACGATGGAACTTGTTTCATGTGGGATCCTCGCGCAGGCGGTAAGCAAATTCGATCCCTCCGTACTCTTCTTCAATATTTACCGTCGCTAAGGCGGTCCTTGTTCGAACACGCAGTTCCATGCAGCCTCCTCTCGAAATTTAATCACCACATCTCAACCAGGACATACCCTACCAGAATGAATGGAACAGTTGGATCGTCGAGTGGCACCTCGTCCTCGATTGCAGAAGCTTAAGCAACATGCTTCTCGTGCAAACTGTGCGTACACGACGTCAAGCTTCGTGGTGTACAAGATGGATGGATGGGCTGCGTGGTGTATAAAATGGATGGATGGGCTAGGGACCTTCGCGGGTAGAATGGGAGCCGATCAGCGACGTAGGTGAGTACTCCATCTTCGTAGGGAATAGCTACCCCCGCATGATACATATACGACCCGCCGTCCATGGAGAGGACAACTTGCCGTTCCTTAAGAATAGTTGTGTCTTTGTCGCCCGGCGCATGGCGCACTTCATAGAAAGGACAATCGATCTTTGTCGCTTTTCCATGGACGGTTCTGCCATGCTGGGCTCTGAAATGCCAAGCTGCACTTTCCGATGCGATACGAGCGCGCTTTGGATCGTGTCGTCACTGCGCAACTTCGATGACCGGAACGAACCCATGGACAACGTGGACGCGGACGTGCTTTAATTCGCTGTAGGCTACCCAGTGTAATAAGGACTGTGTGTGCTTTTACTAAATTAAAGAATTGCGTACCAATATATCAATATGTATTTGAACTTATGGTTTATTTGATTAGTTTTAGGGACCATCATATGTATCACACATTTTCATCCGACCATACTAGCAATTTAGCACATTTCCTATACTAAGAAAATAAAGCGGTCGGCGGCGCGGCTGTTGCAGACGATTATGACCGTTAATGTTGACGAGCGTCGACATTCCTGCCGCCGATGGCTTTATTTTCTTAGTGTAGGAAATGTGCTAAATTGCTAGTACTACATTAGCATGGTCGGATGAAAGTGTGTGATACATACCAAGGCTCCTAAAACTAATCAAATAAACCATAAGTTCAAATACATATTGATATATTGGTACGCAAATTTAGTACAAGCACACATAGTCCTTATTACATTGGGTAGACTACATCGAATTAAAGCACACCCGCGTCCACGTTGTCCATGAGTTCATTCCAGTCATCGAAGTTGCACTGTGACGGCACGATCCAGACAACGGCAGTATCACATCCGAAAGTGCAGCTTGGCATTTCAGAGCCCAGCATGGCAGAACCGTCCATGGAAAAGCGACAGAGATCGGTTGTCCTCTCCATGAAGTGCGCCATGCGCCGGGCGATAAAGACGCAAATATGCTTAAGTAACGGCAAGTTGTCCTCTCCATGGACGCCGGGTCGTATATGCATCATGCGGGGGTAGCTATTCCCTACGAAGATGGAGTACTCACCTACGTCGCTGATCGGCTCCCATTCTGCCCCGCGGAGGTCCCTAGCCCATCCATCCATCTTGTACACCACGCAGCTCGACGCCGTGTACGCACACAGTTTCCGACCCAGGTAAGGAACGACAGGCGCTCTTCCAGACACTTGTACAGCAGTTTGCACGAGAAGCATGTTGCTTAAGCTTCTGCAATCGGGGACGAGGTGCCACTCGACGATCCAATTGTTCCATTAATTCTGGTAGAGTATGTCCTGGTTGAGATGTGGTGAATGAATTTCGAGAGGAGGCTGCATGGAACCTGCGTGTTCGAACAAGGACCGCCTTAGCGACGGTAAACATTGAAGAAGAGTACGGAGGGATTTGCTTACCGCCTGCACGAGGATCCCACATGAAACAAGTTCCATCGTCCGTAATCGCGAAGATCCGCCAGGCATGGTTGACGCATCTTGGTTGCGACGAGGAGGAAGATGTAGTGGGGCCAGCATATACCAGGATTTTGCGTTGGAGTTAGCCTCGGAGCCGGTGATGACAATCATGTTGTCAAACACGGCAATGAGAAAGTAGCCATTGAAGCCGTCCCACCTGGCGAGTGGATGCGCAATGGCTATCTTCTTCAATGTAGCCATTGTGAGATCTTAGTTGAAATTCTGTATGGCATGTGCCCCCGCGTTGACAAGGCCCATGGCTTCAAGAGGTGGCGCTTGGACTGTATCTCCTGTGTACACGTTGTGCAACTGGATGCCTCCGTTTTCTTGCAGATAGGCCAGCCAGTCCCTGTTCGCGCCGACCCAAATCTGGTGCGCCCTAGGAGTTTAGAAATGACGAAGGATCGGCAAATTTCAGTTTCGCAATCGTAGGCAATCTCATACCTGACGGTTGGAGAAAAGGCACGTAGGAAGCAGTTCTGCGTCCAGAGGGGTGATGTAGCACTTGTGGCCTCGTGCTTCGCCCTGATCAAACTCAGTGCATGGTGCCAAGACGCATGGCCGTCCGAGCACAGTCTTCATCGCTTCACTTCGATCGAGCACTATGCGCATGAGCCCTTTGCCAGCCGCGGCCATCCTTGCGATGCTGAGGACATCGGCGCCAGTGCTCTTAGACACGACGACCGCCATGGAATCGGCGGAGACGTCATCCAGGCGACAACGACGCGCCGGTGGGATCTTCCTGCCACATGTGCATCCCGTCCTGCTGATGAACCCTCTTAACATCCCCAGCTCCGGGCGCCATTTCTACCTCGCCGTTGACCGCCTTCCAGTTCAAGATGGTGCGTGTCCAACATCCCTGTTACCATGCAATTTTGGGTTCCTCCCAGCTGATACCTGTGTCCAGTTAAGCATCCACAGATTGTGCGCATTGAACAAGATTTTTATTCTTGTGAACCTGTGGTTGTTTTTGGTGTGCAGAGGACACTACTGGAGCTCCTAGGTGTTGTCTCTGACCGCCATGGCCCGGTGCCCATTGCCATATGTGTTTCATCCCGGGATGAGCTAGATGCTGTCTGTGCTGCTGTTGCCAACCTCCCCTTCGTGTCCTTATCACCGCTGGTATGCTCAAGTTGGTTGGGTGCCAACTTCCATGTTCAGTTCTCTGATATACTTTGCGGTTGCATCATTGACTATTGTGGGATAGCTAAGTGTATGATATACACAATTTGCAGTATTAATCGCTTAATTCTTCAAGGGAAAACATTGATAATATTGACACCGTCTAGGAATTATGATTGTGCAATTGCAGATATTTTTATATTTATCCAACGACCCTAGGCTTTCTTGCTTTTCTGTTACCCCTGCTATAGTAATATGAACATTGTTTCAGGTTCTCTTATTGTTCATCCTTGCTGTGAAGTTCTTATGGCCGGTTTAGCTAGGCCCACCGGATAATCTTAGCCCATAAGTTATCTTAGATTAATTCTTATACAAGTTATCTAGGTTATAAATATAGGCTGTAAGACTTTTTTTGGAATCAAGCAATAAGAAGATTATTATCTCTATTGCCCGGCTCCCAGAGGAGCCGGAACCCTAGCCGCCTTTAACCCTAGCCGCCGCCGCCATCTCCCTCCTCTTCCGCGACGGCGCCCAACCGCCGGCGCGGCCGCTCATCGCCTCGCCCAGCTCCCTCCTTCCCCTACTGCTTACGTCCCAGGCCTGGTAGGGTACAAGTTCCTACCAATTTGGTAATCAGAGACCAAGTTCCGATCATGTCGCTGCCACCACCACCGCCGGCGCTTTCCAGCGGATTCATCGCGCCGATGACGATGGCGCCGTCCCTTACCGCACCAATGTTGCCGGCGCCGTCCCTCACCGCGCCGACGACGTCCGCCGCCGGATCAACCACGCTGGCGGGCCCCGTCTCCACCGCGACCCCGGCCGCGCCGTCCTCCACAATTCCTCCTGCGCCACCGCCCTCCGCCGTCTTCACACCGGAGCAGGTCACGGCCACCCTGCGGGACCTCGTCACCGCCGTCCAGAGCCTCTACTTGCAACAGCAGCAGTATGCGGCCGGGCCCTACATGCCCCTGCCGACGGCGCCCCCTGCCACCTACGGCCACACGTCGTGGCCGCCCCAGGGCGTCTCTCCGACGGCGTGCCCCTCTGGCCCTTGGCGTCGACGCCGTCCTCGAGCCCCTGGCCGCTACAACAGATGCCGCAGGCGGCGGCCACCGGACCGCTGCAGCTGTTCTCCGCGCCGACCTGCACCGGGCAGCCCCTGCTGTCGTTTCCAGCGGGACACCCCAGCGGGACTACGCCGGCCGCGGCCCCTCTGTGGTACTTGCAGCCACCCCCTCCCGCGGCCACCGACGGCCCCGCCCACCCCCCGCCATCGACGCTCCAACCACCGACACCCCCCCTGCCTAGCTCGGGGAACCATCACCGACCGGCCTCCTGATTCATCAGGTCCGGTTCCCGCCCTCCCCGTCGCCACTTCCAGCGTGGGCGGCTGGGTCTTCGCCATCGCCGGTCTACACCACGGCTCCGGAGTAGCCGACCCCGTTTCCGCAGTTCGGCGGGCCATCCAGCTCCGCGGGTCCCTACCCGGAGTACTTCGACCAGGCGCCTCCCGCCTCGCTGCTCCGCACCTCTGAGCCAGCTCGACACGGCGCTCCGACCCAGACACCGCCACGGCTCGCCAAGATCGACTTATGCCACCTATGACGGCACGGAGGACCCCTCAACTGGCTCAACCAGTGCGACCAGTTCTTTCGCGGGCAGTGCACCCTCGCATCGGAGCGTACCTGGCTCGCCTCGTATCACCTCCGCGGTGTGGCACAGACCTGGTATTACGCCCTCGAGCAGGACGAGGGCGCCATGCCTCCTTGGGAGCGCTTCCGCGAGCTCTGCCTCCTTGGCTTTGGGCCTCCGGTTCGCGGGAGCCGCCTGGCGGAGCTCGGCCGCCTTCCATTCACCTCCACGGTGCAGGACTACGCCGACCGTTTCCAGGCCCTGGCATGCCATGCGTCGG